GACTGCACAGCAGCATGGGTTCATAACAGGCCTGTCATGAACCTCACTTCATGGCAAGAGGAGGGAGGCCCAGAGGCATCAGCCTCACCATCAAGATATATCTAGGGGAGAGGATTTTGCCGACATAATGAAATTATCGTTGGCTGGGTGCAGTGGCTCACGCCCGTAATCCCAGCACTTTGGGAGGCTGAGGCAGGAGGATCGCTTGAGGCCAGGAGTTTGAGATCAGCCTGGGCAATATAAGGAGACCCTGACTCTACAAAAACAATCAATCAATTAATTAAATTTTAAAGAAACTAGTATTAACTTCTTTTAGATGGATTATGGTTCAATGGCTACTTGTTAAAAACACGAAGTCCTTGTCTTTTAGAGATGCACACTGAAGTGTTTACACATGAAGGATGACACCTGGGGCTTGCTTTAAAGCGACACAGGAGAGGGGTGGGGTAGAATGGGTGTGGAGGGGGAGTGCTGGGGTCAGCAATGGGTTCGGGAGGGTTCGTTGCAGTCATGCGCCTCCAGCATACAGAGTGGAAAAGGAGGGATTAAATTAAATAATGAAAAAAACATGCTTGCCCCTTCCCCCTCCAACAACGAGCCCCCATCGGGGCACACCGTGACCTCCCTCCCCCGTGCTCCCTGGCCCACCTGCCCCACCCCACTCCCCAGCCTGCCCTCCACACCGCAGCCAGGTGCGCCCAGAACCCTCCTCTGCGACCCCCATCTCACTCCAAGTCCAAAGCCAGCGTTTTTAGAATGGTCCAGGGGCCAAACCCGATCCGGCCCCTCAGTCCTCCTGCCCTCACCTCCCTGCATTCTCCCCCTAACTCGCTCTGTTCCCCTGGCCTCCCTGCTGTTCCAGCACTGCAGGTCCGCCCCACCTGGGGTTTTTGCACTGGCCGTTCCCTGCCCAGAGAGCAGAAGGGCTCATCCCTCCCTGCGGGGATGTGAGCTCCCTGGAGGTGCGAGCTGCTCCCGGGCCACTGTCTGACTGCCACCCTTGCTCCGCAACCCGCTTCCTGCTTGAGGCCGGTTCATGGCACTTCCCACCTCCTTCCAGCCGTGTGTGCGGCCTCCTTGTTTGTTGTGTCTCCTGTCTCCCCTCCGGAAGGTGAGCTCTGCCACAGCAAGGGCTTTTGTCTGGCTGGTTATGTGCTAGACCTGCATCCTCTAGAACGAGGCTGGCGCACAGCAGGGCTCAGTGTTTGTTGGATGGACGGAGGGATGGACGGAGGGATGGACGGAGCCCACCCACGGCCCCACCGGATGAAGAGGTGGCAGGCCTCAGCCCCATGTCTGTCCAGCCCCACAGCCTACGTCCCGACCACTGCACTCTCCTGCCACCTGCCTGGCGCGTCTCTGAGCACCACTCACTCAGGGCAGTGCGCAAGGCTGCGACAACTCCAGGCCCCAGGCCGCACCCCGAGGGAACCGGGTCCCAGGGGATGTTTGCTGAGTGAGCGAAGAATGCGCGGGGAGCCAGCAGGGCCGCGCAGGCCAGGGCAGCCAGACACGCCTGGTCACGGTGAGAACACGCTCAGGGCGGACGGGCTCAAACCGGCTCTGCCAGTGGGGCCGGGTGGCGGGCCGAGGACGCGGCTGGCAGGGACGGAGGGTGCTCCTGGAGACGGCGCTGCAGCCAGGGGACCGGGGGGCCCCACTAACTCACGCCCAGTCCCAGCCCCAGCTGCTCCAGAGCTTCCTTGCGGGCAGGAAGGGGGCCCTTCTGGCCCCCAGCCCAGCCCTGCACTGCAGGGGACAGAAGCCCGTCCCACCCCACTAGGACCAGTGCGGGAAGCCCTGGAGGGGAGGGCGAGGCCCGGAAGTGGGTGGCGCCTGAGCCTGAGCAGCGCAAGGTGAGTTGGGCCCCAGGGCTGGGCGCAGGCGACCTGGCATAGAAACCCCCGCTCTGTCCCAAGTTGCTGGGTAGCCCTGATTGAATCCAGGTGCCCTTCTGGACTCAGTTTCCCCAAGTGGAAAGTGCTGTTGGCCATGGATCCCAGGACCTTCAATGCCAAGGTGCTGAGTTATCTGGAAGAGGCCACTCAGCACCTCCAGCCCTGCCCAAAGCCCAGCTCTGGGCTGGACACAGCGAGGGCCCGGGGTCACACGCACAAAAACAATAATCAGAACACCTGCGACTGCTGGGCCCAGACCGTGCGCCTGGCACCAGGGCCGGCACTTTGCCCTGTCTCCTGTGGTCCTTCCTAGAGCGCTGTGAGGTAGGGACCATTGCTGTGCCCATCTCACAGTACGGGAAATTGAGGGCCAGGTTGAAGTCCAGGCCTCCTGACCCCACCCCGGGTGTCACACTGGGCAGCTTCCATCCCCCCCCCCCAGAGGGTCTAGGTCCGACACCAGGCACACTCTGAAGTTGTTAGCTGGGATTCAGGGGGAAGGGTTTGTATTTCCCAAACGCACATGCTGGGCCCTGAGAGGCCAAGGTCCAGCCCTGCCGTGTAACCCAGGCCATGGCATACCACTCTTGGACTCAGTTTTCCCATCTGTACAATGGGCATGATCCAGCTGGCTTCCCCTAAGGTATACCCAGTGTTTGAAGCTGCAGGAACTAGAGGACTCTGTCCAGGCCTCGGGGCGAGGCCGGGAAGCCACTAGGCCTATGTGTCTCCACATGGAGGTGGGGGGCAGCAAACACGGACCAGAAGCCCACAGTTGTCTGTGAAGGGACGCTGGCCCTCGCCGCCAGCTGCCCAACAGAGGCAAGATGATTCTGCCAGCACCCCCATGTCCCCCTGTAACCCAGTCCCAAGCCCGGTCAGTCCACCTCCACACACGCCCTGAGTCCACTTCCCTCCCTCCTGGTCCAGTTAGGGTCAGGGCTGTCCAGCCCAAGCCAGAGCGCCGTTCTGAAACGCCAACCTGAAGCCTTCCACCCTGCTAACACACCTCACAGCCCCCGCTCCTAAGACAAAGGACAAAGTCCTCAGGAGGCCCTACAGTGACGCTACCAGCCCCACCCCCACCCTGCTCTATCCACAGGCCACTTCCCCTTTCCCAGAAGCCGGCACACTCCCGCCTCAGGGCCTTACCACTCATTCCCTCTGCCCAGAGCACACTTGCCCGACATCCAGCCCCTCGCTCCCTCACTTCCTTCCCATCTTCAGGAGCCATGTCACCTGCTCAGACAGGCCTTTCTTGACCAGCTATTTAAATGGCAACACCCCAGCCAACGCTCTCGCGGAGTCTCAGTTCAAAAGCCACCTCCTCGTGGGAGGCCTCCCTCGTGCCCCAGCTCAAGGGAGGGCCTTCAGCTTCTCCTTCCCAGCATGAACCACAGCGCTGATGACATAGCGCGCCGTGCAAGTGCACGTCTGGTGAAGGCAGGGGCCGCTTCTGTCTTTCCCATCGCTGAACACTCTGCGGCGGGTGTAGTGTTCAGAACAGTTGGGATGCTCGGGTTCCACCCCGCCAGGACAGACACTGGCCGAAAGTGCACAGTCTAGCACGGGGAGGGAGGGATGGATGGATGGATGGACGGACGGACGGACGGACGAACGAAAGGATGGATGGATGGGTGGATGGACAGATGGATGCATGGATGGACAGATGGGTAGATGGATGGACGGACGGACGGACAGATGGACGGATGGATGGATGGATGGGCAGATGAGTGGATGGACAGATGGATGGACGGATGGACAGATGGACAGATGGGTAGATGGGTGGATGGACGGATGGGTGGATGGACAGATGGATGGATGGATGGATGGATGGGTGGACGGATGGATGGACATATGGACAGACAGATGGATGGATGGATGGCTGGATGGCTGGATGGGTGAGTGGGCGGGTGGATAGGTGAGCAGGGCACCCACAGTGCACCTGCTGCCCAGAGAAGGGAAGGGTCCACTCGAGCTCACCAGCCAGGCCTTGGCAAGAGCAGCTGCGCCAGCCCGGCCTCTCCCCCTGCACAACCCGACTTTCGTTTCCCATCCTCTCTGTCTGAGGAAGCGCCTTCTCCCCGGGGGCACGGAGTGAGGCAGAGGGGGCTCCCAGGCTCCATCCGTCCCACCACAAAGGGGCTTTGTCCTCCGTGCTGAGAACCCAGGGCAGACCGGAAGCCGCCTTCCACAGCCCCGCGGGTCTCCGCTCCCCGGCCGGCGGGAGCAACAGCTCAGACACCAGACCCCAGAGGCCGGCACCGTGCTGGGCACAGTCCCCCAAAATCTCACTGAATCCCCTCATGAGCCCTTGGATGGAGGCCTTAGGGTGACCCCCATTTTTGGAGATGGGGAGACTGAGGCTCAGAGGGGCAAAGTCACTTGGCCGAGGTCAGGCAGCCAGCGGATAACAAAGCTCGGCTCAAACCCAGGCCCATCTGGCACCGGCGTCAGCAGCCACAGCTCCCAGCCCACCCCGCCTAGAGTCTGGACTCCCTGGGTCTTCACGGAGGCGGGTGGGCAACCATGCCTGGGCCTCTGCCCGCGTGGGGGGCTTTGCCTGGTGAGGCTCCCCTGCCCCACGGCCAGGCGCCCGCCCTCGCGATCTGCCAGTCAGGCCGCGACACATCCCCATCTCTTCATGCCAGGCGGCGTCCGCGAGGAGGGCGGACAGGCGGCAGGCAAGGGACAGGGCCCCTACCCTCACCACCACCCCCCACCCGCCCCCCACCCCCGCTCCCTCGTCATCCCGCGCCTGGCCGTCCGCCTGCCAGCGCCCACCTTTCCCCAGGCCCACCGGTTCTCTGTGCAGCCACCAGGGTGCCTCACCGAACCCACACGCCCGTGGGCCAGGCGCTTCCAGGGCTGGATAAACCTGTCCCGCCCAGGGCCCTCCTCGCTGCCCAGGCCTTCCATCAATGGGTGCCAGCCACCCTCCTGGGTCAAGACTCCACGGCTCCTCCGGGCTCCAACATGAGGAGCTGCTTGCAGGTCACCTTCCGGCCCCCCTCCCATCCTTCTGCCCATCAGACATCAGAGTACCTCTTCCTCCAGGAAGTCCTCCCTGACCCACTCCCTCCAAGCCAGACCAACCCCTACCTTCTGCCCCAGGTAGGGGGTTTGGATCCCTGTCTCCAGCCCCAGCCTCTGTGGGCTGCCTCCACTCGGCAACAGTCGTCGAGCAGCTGTGCTGGGTCTCATCCTTCTTTTTGTCCTCCCTCCACACCCACAGCAGAAGGCCAACCACAAGCACCCTGCTCCCGTCAGCCCCAGGCCAGAGCCTGAGCGCCGCGGTGAGGGCTGAGGCCCTGCCTGATCAACCAAGTCACCTTCTAACCGCCTTGTACACGACCTGCTGCTCCCACCTCCCGAGCCACACGCACGCATGCCAAGCTACTCCCCACCTCCAGCCTTTGCACACGGGTCCCTCTTCCTGGCCCGCCCTCACCCTTCTTTTTTTCTCATGAGCTCCTGTCCACCCTTCAAGACCCAGGCCAGGCAGCACCTCCTCCGGGAAGCTCTCACGGCCCCACGCAGGGCTGCCACCATGCTCGTGGCTCCCACCCTGTGGTAGGGAAAGGATCGGGGCCTTTGTCTGGCTTCCTCAGAGCACAAGCCGCCCCCAGAGTACATTCCTGGGGTCCTCAGCACTCATCACAAGGCCCAGATATCACCAGTGGGTAACTGAGAGTCCCGCTGCCAAGTCCCTGCCGGGGAGCTCAGGTGCGGCGCCCGGGGGCAACTCCCAGTGGCAACACCGGGTCCCACTTTGCCACGACGGCCACAGATCTAAGGTGTGGGCAGAGTGGGCGGAGGGGGGAGCTCTCTGCAAGTGGCCAACTGGTAACCAAACCCACGTAGTTTCTAAAACTAGGGCACAGGAGAGAAACGGGAACAGCAGAATTGTCCCCAAATAGAACTATGGCTCATCTGGTTCCGGGGCCTTCGGGAACACCTGGCAGGGGTGGGGGTGGGGAGGCCAGGCGGCTGCTCCCGAGGCTTCAAAAGGAAATCTGAAGTTTGGAGGGCAGGGCGTCAGCGTCACCATCCTCGCGCAGTCAGCGTGCTGACACCTGCCACTTCCCTCAGGGCCTGTCCAAACCCAGGGGGTCGGCGCCTCTCCCACTTGACCCACCTAGGTATGGGGTGCGCCCTAAACTGTCCCACCTCCAAGCCTCTGCTCACGTGGGTCCTCTGGCTGAGATGCCGCCCCCTTCCTGCCAGTCGGCACCCTGCCCATCCTGACAGCCGTGACCGTTGACAGTTAACCGTGACACTGCCTTTTTTTTTTTTTGCTTTCTTTTTTTTTAAAACAGATCCCATAGAGAACTAGACGCTTTCTATAAACCAGGCATGGGCGGGCATTTGGGAAAAATGAGCTTGTCAACAGCCCTAGAAGGAAAAGTCTCCTGCCCATACATAGGTGAGGGAACCAGGGCTCAGAGAGAGAAGCCATTGTCCTGGGCACACAGCCGAGGAGGCAGGTGGACCAGGTGACATGGTAGCACCCACGTGCTGGCAGCCACACGGCACCCACAAGGCTTGGTGGAGCCTGGTTCAGCCTCCTAACCAGGCCCAACCTTGGAGACTCGGCACAGCTCAGGGACAAAGTCTACAGGGTACAGCCACACCCACCCAGGCCATACAGGAACCCCTACCTTCCCTTCCCGGCCCTGCCCCCTGCCTAGAGTGGCTGCTAAAGATTGAAGAGCCACACTGGTGGGATGTGATACAACTGTCTCCCCAACAATATGCACAGACCCATTGCACAGACAAGAAAACTGAGTCTTAGAAGGGGGCAGGAACTTTTTCCTTGCAGCTGTTTGTTGAGTGCTGCCTCCAGGCCAGGACTTGGACTAATTGCTGATGTAGACGATCATGCACAGCCCTCACCACAACCCCACCGAGGTGGACACATTTATTTATTACCCTCATTTCCCAGATAAGGACACTGAGCCTCTTGGCAAGGGGAAGCAACGTGCCCACAGTCCCAAAGCAAGAAAGTGGACACGCAGGCTTCAACCCAGTCAGAAAGCAAGAAATTGGGATCTTGGCTGAGTCCCTTCTCAGGTTCTAGGCCTCAGTTTCCCCATCTGGAAAGTGGGATGTACCCCAATAGCCTTCGGGCTGTGATCCCCTGTTGTGGCCTGGTGGATGCTATTTCCTTCCTCTTGGTTCCCCCATCTAAATATTGGGGTTGCCTTTCCCTTCCTCCCCAGGTTAATACAAATTATAGTAAATTAACAACTAACGTGTATTGAGCGCATGCTAAGTGCTGGCACAATACCTCACTTGATCCTTGGAACAAGTCCATGGCGTGGGTACTGCCAGTGGGCCCATTTATCAGATGGAAAAACTGAGGCACAGAGGTTAAATGGACTCACCAAAGTCACACAGCTAGTGGGTGACATCTGGGGGTAGAGAAGTCTCCTGGTTTCCATGCTTCCCAGGGAGGAACTGTGGGGAGGGTTGGGGAGTGGCCATGAGTGTAGGGGGAGGCAGAGAAGGCTCAGCCCAGCTGAGGCAGGGCAGGCCCGCAGTGCTCAGGAGGCCTGGGTTCAAATCCATGCCCTGGATGACCTGGGCAAGTCCCCTTGTTTCTCTGAGTTTCCCCCTTGGTGAAATGGGGCCAGGACCACAACCTCGCAGGGATACTGCGAAGACGGGACACGCCATTTGCCTGGCACGGAGCAGGGGCTCAACTGTGTGCTAGGGGACACAGTGACGCTGAAGGATCCAAGGGCTGGCCCACTGTGGCCCACGGCCCCTGCAGGAGCTTGAGTGTGTCTGATGCTCCTTCCAGACAGGGAGGGACAGTGGGCATAATCTGCCTCTGCTCTGATTCTTAGAAGGCACCACGCTCTGCCCCTTCAGGGCTGTGTGACCTCAGCAAGTCACTGTACCCCTCTGAAATTCCAAGTCCTCCTTTTGACAATAAGTCAAGGCTTTCTAATATGCCGAAATAAAAAGTTACATAAAAAAATAAATAAATAAGTCAAGGCTTTCATGGGGCTCAGGGAGAGGGGTTCCTGCCTGGGGAACTGGGGGTTCGGTGGGGGGAAGAGCCCAGGTCCATGTGCCCAGGCAGAGACAAGACTAGCACGAGCCTGACCGGACCCAGTTTCCTCATCTGCCCAGTGGAGATTATTGTGGCCGATCTGTCGCTCTGAGCCCTGCTGCAGACGCTCAGAGGTGACTGTGGAAAGTTCTTTGTAAACTGTAAAGTTCCGTGCCCTTGGGAGTGATGATTATATTCCCTTAGAGGCAAAAAGAATCCTATGACTGCAGAATGTGCCGGAGCCACGAGAGAGGGCACAGAAGGGGCAGGGGGTGCAGAGGAGGGCAGTGTGGGCTCAGGGAGGGGAAGGTGGTGGAGCCGGTGGCATGCCGGCCACCTGCAGGGCACGGAGAGGGCGGGCACGCTGGGCAGGGGGCCTGCGGCCGCTAAGGCACAAAAACCAGGCAACCCCGGGCAAGCAGGAAGATCGCCAATGGCTCAGAAAGGCGACAGTGTCACCGGAGTGACAGGGAATGTGGGAGGTGGTCAGGGCAGGGCAGAGGGCAGAGCTGTGGCCCAGACCAACAGCACCTCTGGGGGCCCGTGGCTGCCTCTCTCGCAGCCTCCCCAAAAGACAAGGGCAGGAACAAACAGCCCCTGCCTCTCAGGCCAAGCGAGCAAGGATCAAAGCACTTTCATTCCCATTACATAGAACAAGAAACTGAGGCTCAAAGAGGCTCACAGTGCTCAAACGGTAACCACCTTTGAAGAGATGAGCCCATTCAGCGGGAGCACCTCGAACGCCAAGCGGAGGCTCAGGGCGGGGGACACTTTGGTGGGTCACATGTGGACAAGGGCAGCAGCGGGGGCGGGGAGGCTGGATGGAGCTGGCCACTTCCAAGAGCTCCAGCCACCAAGCCTCTGTCTCCAGGTAACCTTCCCCTGACTCCCTGCCCCATGGGACAAGCCAACCGCAGACAAAGGTGCCAGTCACAGCCCTGGGGATCCCGAGCGCGACTGCCCTGCCGAGGCCCAGAATTCCTGCCACGAGGGAATTACCTTCCTAATCACAGGCTCCTGCAAATGCCAAGCACTTCCTGAGTGCGGGCCCTGCGCCCCAGCCCTTGGCACACATCGGCTCGCCCGATCCTCATGCCATCTTGTCAAAGCTGGCACTGCTATCCCCATTTCACAGATGGGGAAACTGAGGCTCTGAGCAGTCATTTTCACCCAATCGTACACAGCAAATAAGGGGCCAAGCCAGATTTCGAACCCAGAAACAACCAGCTTCAAACGCCTTGCTGCTTCCACTACCCTGCATGCCACGAGCATCCGAGATCTCAGTACCCCGGGTCTGAGTGGAGGTCCACCAGCCGGAGCTGGAAGCCCAGAGGGTCAGGGTCGCCTGCCCCCAGCACTGCACCCGTCCTATACCTGGGAAAGCGTCCGGCCTGCCTGCGTACTGGGCACACACGCAGCAGGAATCAGATGCCCACGGGTCACTCACGAGCCAGAGGTCTGAGCTCACACTTCATTGTTTTGGGTGACTGTGGCCTCAGCCCTTCACCCCTATGAGCCTCAGTCTCCTCTTCTGTGTAACAGGAATAAAAGCTCTGCAAGGATGGACCGGGCCACCGTAGCATGACCCAGCTCAGGAGGGCACAACATCAGACGGGAAGATACTGACATCAGACGGAGTGAAAGTTAAGACCACAAATTTGGACAAGGCATCCTTGCAGAAGCTAACCAGGGCTTGCCGGGAGCCACGCTCCCCAATGCCAGCCCAGCCCGACTTCCGCCCCCGCACCAGGCGCTGCCAGTGCTGGCCTCGCAGCCAGTTCCTGGAGCCTCTAAACAGCCCCACGGCCACCACCACCCACCCGCCCCGGACATGCCCCCACACGGGCACCTCAGGGGACTCAGCCAGCCCTGCCCCTGGGGGCTCCACAGCTGGGCTCACCGTCTCGGAGCCTTAGGGAAGGGAGCACCCTCACTGTACAGATGAGGAAACTGAGGACCAGGAGGGGATTTAGCCGAGATCACTCAACTTCTCCTCCCTTCCAGCTTCTCCTTTTATTCTGGAACTTATTTGGGGAGTTCTAGGAGGACAGAGGCTGGAAGGGACCAAGGTTGGGGGAGTCACTTGCCCAGGGACCCACAGGAGTAGGGAGAGGGAGGTCCTGAAGGCTTCCAGCTCTGGGGTCCTCCCCAGGCATCTGTCCCTCGACTCAGCCCCACCCAGCTGTGCTTTGGGAAGGGGCAGTACACCCAGCTGGCTGGCTGGGGACAGTCCTGGAACAAAAGACAAGAGATCTGCATTTTCCCCCAGCTTGGATGACTTGCCCTGGGTCTCTCTGGCCTCAATTCCCTCATCTGTGAAAAGAGAAGGTCAGAACAGATCAGGAATGACACACTCTCATGGCATAAGTACAATGCTCTCTTATCCTCCACCCAAGGCAGACATTACTAATCTATCACAGCACTCTTTCCCACGAAGCCAAGACTGGACCTCAGAATGCTTCTCAACACAGCACTCCAGGTCTGGGGGACTTGAGCCTTGGGCCATTTCTAGACTGGATAATATCTAAGCTCCCACAAGGGAGGAGAAGAGAGAAAGAAAAATGTATAATTTACTGAGCATCTAGTAGATTCAAGCCACTGGAATATGTTAGTTGATTTAGCCCTCACAAGGAAGGTGTGTAGAGGCTGATGTTCAGAGAGGCTAAGTGACTTGCCTTTGGACACACAGCTCAGAATGAGGCCTTGAACACAGGTGAGGGCCTTGGGCACAGCCTCTCGCCACCCTCCTTAGCCCTACTAGATGCAAGCCCTATGCCCATTTACAGCTTCAGAAACGGAACCACAGGAAGGGGGCATTTGTTGCCAAAGGAGGCAGGACCGGAGCAGGTCTGGCTCTTCTCTGCCCTATTTATTGAGCACCTAATGTGTGCAAAGCACTTTATTTCTGTCCTCTTGGGCCATCTCAGGAACCATGACTCACTATCCCACTTCATGGATGAGGACACTAAGGCTCCCCAGAGGAAGTGCCCCCCCTCACCGCAGGAGCTATTCAAGGGGAAACCAGAGCGGTTTCCCATGGAGATAAAGGGGGAGGGGGAGGGGAAGTAAAGGCCTGTGGGAACCTGAAGGGAGATAGAGGGGCAGGGGCCACAAGCCCGGGCAGGAAGTAAGGCGCAGAGGCCCTCTGTAGTGGCTCTACAGCCTGCAGAGACCCGGGAGGCTCCTGGTGGTGCCGAGCACTAGACCAGGAGTCCAGAACCCTATAGCCTAGCCCCAGCCCTGTCACTGGACAATTGGGAGACCCTAAGCAAGTGGCTTTCTTCTCTGGGTCTTAGTATTTACGGTTGGAAAATGGGGCCAACCTCACCCAAGGCAGACTTTTAGGAAGCGGGGCTGGGCTAGACCTATGGCATTCTCCCCAGTTCAGCCTCCTCGCACAGAGAAGACACAGAGAGAGAGCAGGGCAGAGCCCAAGGTCACCCAGCACATTGGTGGCCTTGGCTGCCAACATCATCTCCTAGGCCAGCCCTGCCTGGACCGGGACCTTCAGACTCAATGAGATCATCACTCAAGGCCTTATCACATAGCTGGCAAGGCCAGCCCAGAGATGCCAACTGATCTGCCCAAGGTAACACAGCACAGAGCAGGTCCCGTTTTCTCAGCATCTACTGGTGCCAGGCACTAGGCATACAGCCCTCCTTTAACCCTGACCTGACAGGGAGATATTTATTGTCCCCATTTTCAAGACAAAGAAACTAGTCTCAGAAAGATACAATGAATGACCCAAAGACACACAGCAAGTGGGGACAGTCAGAACTTGAACTGACTCCTGAGCCTTTACCGCGTCTGTGGTCTCCATCTCTCCAGCTGACCCCACCCTGTTCCCCACCCCACTCCGGCTGAAGCCGGTCTGCTTGGTCTGCATGGCGCTTCCCTAATCCCTGGCTGTCACCCTCTCTGGCCTTCCTGCTAGCAAACTCCTATGCCACTTCCAAAGCCCAACTTCAAATGCCTCCTCCTCTTAAGACCCCCATAGAATATCGGAGTCCAGCCAGCAGATGTTTCCATCAGGAGCCTTGGTCTGCTCCGTACCTCTGGCCTCCAGCATGGGGCTGGTCACCAGGGGATACAAATCAGCCCCCTGTGTGAGTGTGACAATGGAGGCCAAACTCAGCGCCTGCATGGCCCAGCCTGGCTGATAACATCTCCCCTTCCTTCTCCATGCTCCAGCCCAACAAGTTTTCCCATTGTTTCTCCACAACAGCACACACTTCCCTGCCTCAGGGCCTTTGCACATGCACT